TTCAAATTATAAAAGTCCTTTTGCCCTTTTGACTAATTCAAAATCCATGTGGAATTTGGGGTTGAGGCAAAAAAGCAAAGTTGAAGATTATTTTATGTGGATCAACTTTGGTATTCAAAGTTTTTCAAGTTTACATATAAAATTTGGAGTAATTTTGAAATGATTCAAATACTCAAATGCACCCCAAATTCAAATTTCAAAATGGAGTCAGAATTTGAAAATATTCCTTGAAGCAAAGTTGTAGAGTTTAAAAAGTTGAGCAACTTTCATTTTGAAGATTTTCAACTTCTTTAAAAAATTTGGGAGTAATTTGAAAAAATAGACTCGATGGCGCTTTGTAAATAATTCAAAATCAAGATTTACATCACCGCTTCACGGCTATCACGCCGCTTCTCTCGCCGCCGAGCGTTTTGCGCCGCTTCCTCGCGTCCTGGCACGTCATCATCGCCGTGGCATCTTCGTTGTGTGCTGTCGAAGCCAGACGAGCTCCTCTCGGCTATAAATAGCCGTACCGTCGTCGTCCCTCTCTCTCTCTTTTCACGCCTCGCTCGCTCGTCAGCGACGCGACCTCATCAAGCTCATGAAATTTGCCACCGTCGAGCAGCCTCCGTCGTGCCCAGTTATGCCAAAGCGATCGCCTCAGTCTTGCGCTTCTCTACGACTTGCTCACGCTGCTTGAGTTGGCCGGAGTCGCCCGGCGCAATAGCTTCTTCCCCGAGCCCGGCCGAAGCTCCGCCACCATCGCCACGATGTGGTCAGGCCATTCTAGACCGTCTCCGTCTTCACCAAGTCCACCGGTGTGACCGTGGTGAGCTACTGAACGAGATGTGCACTTCGCTTTTGACTCTACCGCATTCTTGCTGGGGTTACGTCGTGAGCCGATGTGCTCGAGCCGCCATGGCCAGCGTGGAGTCTTCTCCGGTGCACCTTCTATTATTCCAAGGACGGGGATGAGTTTGTAGGGGTGTGTAGATTATTTGGGTGAGGTTTGCCTCGCCGGAGCGTCATCGTCGGCGCATTTTGGGGCTTCCGACCAAATGATGGCAGCCTTGGCCGTGACATGTATGGGTCACCACGGGTGGGGTTAATTTGTCGATGAGAAGGAAGGAGAAGAACAGTGAAATTTTATATCTTCTGATTTTGAATAGTGCTGAATCTTTGGAAATTTGTTTTGGTACACTAATTTGTCATGAGGAAGCTTACATAAAATTTTGAGGTCATTTGGGACAAGTTTATTTTGGGCTTATTTCCAAATTGATTCAAAAATAAATAAAAGCAAACCCTAAGTGTTTGATTAGTGTTTGATCTTATTTTGATCATGTTTTGTGACCAGTAGGGTTTCAAGAGTAGTGGTCGGTGAATTCACCGTAGTGGTCGGAGAGTTCACCATAGTGGTCGGAGAGTTCACCGTAGTGGTCGGAGAGTTCGCCGAAGTGGTCGGAGAGCTCATCGGAGTGGTCAGTGCTGACGTGGTCACATCCGTTACGAATATGGTTTGGTTAGTTTGGCTTGTAACTGTACCGTGAAGGAAAGTTGCATTCAAGGTGTTGTTATATTTCATGCACCATGAAAGCATCATGTTTATATTATCATCATGTTGAAGCATATGCTATTATTTCGTGTAGAATCCGAGAGTGAACCGATTCTAGTTGAGCAAGTTCTGGAAGCATCCCCGGTTGTCACGGGATTCGATAATAGTGGTGCTGATCTGGAACCTGAGATCGTCAACGAAGGCAAGCCCCGGTTTATGCATTAAACCATTACCTTGTTTACTTTGAAAAGTTTATCACCTATGTTACCTATTGCATTAAGTTGATTAATTCAAATGTTACCTACTTGATGCATTGCCTACCTTGTTAATTGTTGACCATCCTTGAAGATGATTTCATTTACAAAGGCATAGAATGCTTAGTATGCTTTATGGTAGGCTTTCAAAGTAAAAGTTTCGATACAATCAAAGATGACATATTGGCCAAAGAAAGAAAGAAAGAAGATAGAATGAACTAGAGACTAGTCGGGTGGCTTATCTTGAATGTTGGGTAATGTTGCCGACTATGTCGCTTAAAGGCCACTCATTGTGGATCTTCTGAACGAGACACTTTGTAGTACTGGTCACATACTCCGGCAAGCCTACTTCAGCTAAACCGATACTAAGACGAATGCCCACGCACTGGGAGTGGTGAGATGGCGGGAGTAGCGTGTACCCTCGTGGCTTGAATGTGGTCGGATTTGAGGCGTGCTGTGCTCTCGGGTGGCGTGGAGACGGCTTAGTACGGGAGGATCCGGTAGCGAGGTTGATATATGCAAGATTAAGTTCTACATATGTCATGTGATAAGGAATCCCCAGCTGGGACTTGAATTAATTCGAATTGCCGGTGCTCCACGGATATGGAGACTCGATTCATTACAGAAGCAATGTAGGACTGGTGAATTACTAAAACTTGAGAAAAGGAATGGAATGAGAAGGATTGGAACATAGGATATGAACACTTAGTTTGAGATATTGAACTAAAGTACTTAGGGGTAAAACTTGAAACTAGGATCAAGAATAGTAAGCTTTTGGCAAAGAACTTTTGAACTTTCTACATCCTTACCTTGACCCAACACCTGCATCCCTAAGACCTTCGCCCTTTTTCGTCGGGTCAGTCTTGTTGAGTACTTTTGTACTCAGGGTTTGTTAACCCTTGTTGCAGGTGAGTCGCATGCGCAGGCTTGTTTTGGTCCCTGCTGCATGTCAGTGTTTGAAGTCGATGACGATGAGGAATGATGAATGGCCTTTGGATAAGGCACTAGTTTGTGTGAAATAAATAATGTTAATGTAATATTATCCCACTACTATGGTTGTATGACACGTATTGTTTTGTAAGTTTGAAACAACTGGTTTGTAATATCAAAACTTAAGTCTTCCGCTTTATAATCTCTGGTATATAAATTGAAAACTGTTGTAATATGCAATGACTGTGATTGGGATCCTGTTTGGAAAAGATTCGTGGATGATTCAGGTTTCCCGAGGACACCCGACAGATCTGTTAAGTTGTTGGGAACTTGTGTACGCTATCTGAGGTCTGTTGAGACACCGATAGGTGCACGTGGGCCCGATTTCTTTGGAGGTTCTGCCACAACTTAGGTTCATAAACTTGGAAAATGCATTTCTGGATATCTAAACTTACTAAATGATACATCGTAGGTCCATACTTGTCACACGGATATTTTTATGACATGGCAACGCCACATGGGCGAAAATATGCAATGAACACCCTAAAATCTAAGGAGCTGGATGTGTATGCATGTGTTGGACGAAGCAGGGCGGCGAGGAAGCAGGGGAAGCAAGCAGCGCTTCATCCCACCTCGGCCATGGCCACACGCACGAACTACTGCCCGCCCTGCCCCACCTTGTCCCAAGACCGTGCGCCATCATCACCTCACGCAAGTGGGCGCCCTCGCCGTGCCCTAGAGCCAGTTCGAGTCCCATCTGTGCCTGAATCGAGCTTGCCATGGCCGGCTATTTAAGCAGAGCACGCACGTGCCGCGACCACCTTTGCGCCCTTTCAAAAATTCATCCACACTAGTGCCTCCCATTCCAATCCCTCGCAGCCATGAGTGTGCCCGGTTGTTAGCTAGCCCCTGGACGAGACCTCATTGCAAACCATCTTTGATAAGTGACGAATTTTGGAATCTCGTGGAATCGGCCGCCATGGCCGCTGGAGTTGAAGCTCTGCTATGGCGCCAATTCTTTTCCTCTCTGTTCTATCCAGACGTGTTTTAGCATCGCCTTAACGCCCCCTACATGGCCTTTGCATAGTTTGGCCGGTCTCCTTGCCGTCTTGTGGTAAGTTGTCTCCAACCTAGCGACGAGATCCCCCTCATGTGACCTCGACACCCTGCCGCGGGAGGAGCCCTCCGGCGCGTCGCTGGAGTTCCCCGTGTTCCAAACCAATGTCCTCTTCTGGGGCACCCACGACGAGGTCACCAACGCCGGCCTGGACACGCCTCCGCTGCCCATCGCCAGCACCAGCGTCGCCGTCGTGAGCTCCTCGGCCTCCGGGCGTAGGAAGGAGAATCTGGTCATCGACATCTCGATGCGGCCCATGGCCCTGAGCACGCCGCCCATGAACTTCCCGCTGCCGATGAGCCGGAGGCCTGGGGCCATCGATGGGATGTGGTCCCCGGTCTTAGCCAGGTTGCGGTCACTGCGCCGGCTGCTGAGCAGAGGCAAGCAGGCCGTGGTCGGCACCTCCTACAGCCCACGCGATGCCGATGACATCGAGCAGGGGCTCGCCAGAGCCGAGTCCTCCCGCCCGCCCGCCCCAAGACGCCGAAGATGCCTCCGTCGGTGAACTGATGCAGATCCCCAAACATGGCTCGGCTTTGGAGGTGAAGGCGAGGTCATGGGCAAGTGGCGACGTGACCAGCGGCGAGTGCGGCATGTACAACGCATGGCAAGGCGCAATAGAGGCGATGTGGGCAGCGCGTGACGCGCTCTGCGCCATTGCGCCGAACGGTGGCGTGCATGACCTGGCGAGGGAAGAATCCAGATACCCTCTTTGAATATTCCATTTATATTTCATGGGGTTCACTGCATATTTTCCTGCCACATGGCAATGCCACGTCAGATAAAATGCCCACGTGGCAAGTATGGACCTGCGGTGTATCATCTAGCAAGTTTAGATATCTAGAAATACATTTTTTAAGTTCATGACCTAAGTGACACCCTGTTATTTCAAAACTCTATTTTTTTATTAAAGCCGCGCACGCACGGTGTAAAGGCCTAAAAGGCTGAAGCTGTCAGCCGAAAAAACCCCAACAAATGCTTTTTGGCCCAAATTGCTGAGGGTTTTCGGCCCAAATTCTCCCACTCGGGCCATCCATGCCAACCATTCATTTCGGCAAGTCTGCAACGCCTCTCCAGCATACGCCATAGCTCGCCGAGACGCCGACCTAAACGCCCACAATTCGCTTCTACGATCCGGCACGACACCGCCGCCGCCGTCACAGTAGCCATGTCCAACCCTGGCTCGTCCCCCGCCTCCGCTCACCACGACCACGAGCACACCCCGCTCTGCCGCTCCTGCGGGGCGCCCACCACGGCGCCGATCCCGGCCCCCTGGTCGGGGACCACCGACTCCCCGCCGCCGGCGTACCGCCCCATCCGTCTCCCAGCCATCAACGCGCCCACCAACACAGCCGCCATCGTCCTCTCCCCGGTCCCGCAGCCGCTCCCCGTGCCTCCCGCCGCGCCGCCCCACGCCTTCCAGGTCCCCGCCAAGCGGATCACGTCACCGGACGACATCGCCCGCTTCCACGCCTCGGTCCACGGCCGCCACTTCCTCGGGTTCGTCGCCGCGCTGTCCGCCTCCATCCACGGCCGCAAGCTCTCGGACCCGCTACCGTCCTCGCCATCCCCCGCCGTCGCTGCGCTCCTCGACCTCGTCTCGGCTCTCGCCGCGCTCGTCGCATCCACCCCTCCGCTTCCGCACAGCTCCCGGTACGGCAACCCTGCTTTCCGCCTCTGGCACGAGAAGCTCACCGACTCCGCCAGCGAGCTGATCTCGCGGATCGCGGCCACCGCGTCCTCCCCCGCGGACCTCGCGGATGCGGAGGTCGAGCTCGCACCGTACCTCCTCGATTCCTTCGGCAACGCCACCCGCATCGACTACGGGACGGGGCACGAGACCAACTTCGCCGCTTTCCTCTACTGCCTCGCGAGGCTCGGCGTCATCACCGAGCCCGACTACCCGGCCGTCGTTCTACGCGTCTTCGTAGCCTACCTCGATCTCATGCGCACGCTGCAGGACACGTACCAGCTGGAGCCTGCGGGCTCCCATGGCGTTTGGGGGCTCGACGATTACCATTTCCTGCCCTTCATATTTGGGTCTGCGCAGCTGATAGATCACAAGTACATGAAGCCCAAGTCGATTCACAACCCAGATATCTTGGAGAATTTTTCCAAGGAGTACATGTATCTGGCGTGCGTTGCATATGTGAAGAAGGTAAAGAAGGGGCCCTTTGTGGAGCATTCACCAATGTTGGATGATATCAGTGGAGTGGCCAATTGGAAGAAGGTTAACAGTGGGCTGCTCAAGATGTACAAGGCCGAGGTGCTTGAGAAAGTGCCGATCATGCAGCATTTCCTCTTTGGCTCACTAATCAAATGGTATGAGTCATGGCACTTATAATTTTTCTTGTCATGTGTTTTGGTGCCCATGCATTGGTCTTATTAGTTCCACGTTACAACAAGAGCTTCTAGTGTAGAGAACGGTTGCCTGGTGAACTATGCAGTGAGTAATTCAGTTCTTTTTCCGGACTAAGATTAGCATATGACTCATCAAATATGATTGACAATCACTTGAAAAACGGAAATGAATGTCAATTTTATCAATTGGAAACTCTGGATACAGTAATTCTTGGAAAATTGTTATTAATATTATGCAGGCTGCTCTTTTTTTTTTGGCATTAATAGCATTGCATTGTGGGCCTTTGTGAAAATTCGGTGGTGGTCAATGCGTCTTGTATCCTGTTTTGACTAGTAGGCTAACTCAGTAATCATTTGGCAGAGACATTGTCAATGAACAAATAATGTTTGTTGATGTCCCAGAATAGTTGCTTTCACCTAGTTTGGCAAACCCTTCTCTTTCCCATTTCTATAGCATTTCCTGTCATTATTGTCGAGGTGAGGTATAGAAAAACCACAATCAAACAATATTTCGATAAAATGCTTGTAGATAGTTGTGGATGAACGCAGAAAAAGTTTAGAATAAATAGAATTCATTTGATTTATTGGAATATAGTTGCCTAGAATGAATAAGTGCTATGCTTGAAGACATTTTTTATGTTATGGTGCAAATTACTTAAGGTAGCATGGTACTGAATTTTAAATAGTTCTCTTCAATCCTTAATGAGAGCATAGGTTGCCCTAGCTATTAGGCCATCTTTCATTTTCGTTAAGGTCAACATGGCCTTTTCAATATTTCCTGGTTATATTTTGGATATCATTCAGTTCAAATGTTTGCATGCTAAGGTTGACTCTCCCCAGTTTATTTGGCCAAAATGCTCATATTTGAACCGTGTACATTCAATACATTAGTTGATAGGAATTTTTCTAGCATGTTATGTTCTCTTGATACCAGTGTGCTACATTTTTCCTTGGTATTATTTTTAAAAACATCAATTGAAAATTTATTGGGTTATTATATTAAGAACATTGTTCGTTTCAGTGTGATGTTCATGTTCTTTTAGTTACTCAACGTGCTCTTGGCTTTGATCATGGAATGGACTTGTGTACCATTAACCCATTTTACCATTCCACATGGTTCATCTTTGTTTGGTTGCTGGTCCAAACTAACTTAGAATATGAATCCAGTTTGACACGTTTTGAGACTAGCGACTGTTTGCCCAATTCTGTCAGGTATGCTGCATTGCCTACATTGCAGAAGAATCATAGGCACACTTTTGCTGATTTGTCTGTGATCAGCTAATCCTCAAGCGCAGTATCCATTGATGCAATAGAGCAACTAGCTATGGATATATGATTTATGGCAGAGAAAAAAAGAAAAATCATAGCTAGCCAAGAACATGCTGCCATTTTCCCCTGGCATTTCAACTGCTCTAACTCCAGAACTCAAGAAGAACATTTTTTTGGGATTTAGCTCAAATTATGAACTATATTCAGAAGGTGCAATAGATCAGTTTGCAATGGTTCCTCATTGCTCAGGTTATATAGTAGCAGCCTGATATATGTGTTATTTCATAATTGATAGATATCTTGAGCCCGATTTGATTACTGAAAGTACTAACTGCCACTAAATGAACAGGAGTAATGTCTGTTACAAACCATTGTTGTTCACTGTTATCAATATTTTTGTTCATGAAGCCTGCTGATGAACATTGGTCTGTGTTCTCGTTTTTTTTTTCAGGGAGGACTAATAACATCTTAGAGAAGCTCACCAGTGATCTGTGAGAACTCATGTATGATGTGAGGACTGATTGTAGAGTGGTGCTACTCAGAGTTGGCAGAAAAAAGAATACATATAGAAGGTCATTTTCCATCTAGGGTCAGTGAGCGTTCTGTATGTTTGCATAGCGTGCCATCACACTTATCTTCTGGTGTTTTAAATTCTGGGAACTTGTCAGTTCCTGCTCAGCCTGTGCATTACTTGAGGATTGCCTTGGTTCCTTGAGGGCAATGTAATGTTAGTTGAATAACACCTTGTATTGAGACTTGTGGTGTAGATGACCAGAGCAGCCTCTTTGGCTTTGCTGAATGGAAACCTGAACTGTGCTCGCTATATTTGGTTTGCTAGTGACTGTGACTGTTGCTTCCTCTTGGAGTTTTGGGATGCTGTTGACCTGTTGTGTTCATCGATCATGCCATCAGCTGGTCTGGTCTGGCCAGGAGGAGAGCGATGCGCTTGAGTGCCGAGTGCGATACCAGCGACCGGCCCGGGAGGAGAAATATTGGGCCATTAGGCCTCGTTGGGCCATCGAGGTAGCCGGACTGCCGGAGCCCGGAGGGAGACAGTTCCGTCCTGCGCGTGCGCCGTCGGCATCAGGCCGTGAGCCATGGCCCGCCGAGGCGCCACCGGACCTGCACCTCCGCGGCGGCTGAGGTGATCTGGACACCCGCCGCTCCAGCTGGCCTGGTGGGCTTGGTTGGTTCCGAATCGAGAAATATTGCAGTAGAGCAGCCAGGTATTCCTTTTCTCAAGCCGAACCTGACTTGGAATCGAATTTGTTTTTCTCCCGATCCTGACTCCGCTCCACATTTTGATCTCTCTCTCTCTATAAATAAATATATCAAATAATCCCTCTGCCTTTGTCCGCAGCCCTACACCGCTAATCCGATTTATTAATCGGAGAGAGGTATCCGATTTATTAAGCGGATAATAGAGGGTTGTGTTGGTCGGAGATCGAAGATCCTTCTTTTCCTTCTGTCGGGATCTGCATTGGCAGGCAGATCGGAGAAGGGATCGTCACCGTCGTCGTCGTCGTTTAAGCGGCGACGGCGGGATGAGGATTACGCCACTTGTAGGCGTAAGCACTTGTATCTCGTTCTGGACGACTGGAAGGACGGCTACAGCCTCCACAAGCTTGACGCCGACAACATGGATCTTTCAAGGCACCTCTCTGAATCTGCTGTCCTCCGGTTAGCGGCGCCAGTGCTTGATGGAATGGCCTTCACCTCCTTGGGCACCAACATCTTCGTTGACACCAATCGTTGGCGCCGCGGCAACCAAGCTCCTCCAACCCTTGTCTACCACACGGAGAATGCTAGCCTCACCCTCGGTCCACGCGTTCCAGATGAGGTATATAGCTTGGGGGCAGCCACTATGGCTGTTGGTGAGAAGCTGTATGCAGTGACAACAGACCGTGCACTCGATTGTTCACCCGCCATGCAGGGGCTGTCGTGGGCACGCACCACCAGGGTGGAGCTGAAACCATGGCGTCCATCCGTGGACTGGTCCTGGAATAGCCTGTCGACTCCGTGGCCGCTCGATGGGATCTTGATCGTCTCCTATGCGTTGCACCCGGACGGACAGACCCTCTTCATGTCCATAAAGGTGGAAACCCACTCTTTCGACACCGGGCACGGTGTGTGTGGGGAGATTAGGGATTGGGTGCTACCCTTCCGAGGCCAAGCTTACTATGATGCAGACCTGGACGCTTGGGTTGGGCTTCACTGGAAGGAGGATTACATTTGCTGCTGCCCAGTTACTTCCTGGAGCGACACAGTTACGCCATTGCCGGAGTGCAAGATGTTCAAAGAGAAGCTGTTCCACAGCAAGGCGGAGGAGGTGAAACCGAACCACTTGCACTTGAAACCCACTCTTACATACTTGGGAGAGCAGATTTTGCCTCGTGGAGAACATTTTGTGTGGTGAGGATTTTCGTGATGGCTCTGTGATCCATGTCACCTTGTTTGGTCTCAGGTATGATCATAAAGGAGAGCTGAAAACTAAGGTTCACAGAACCACTAGATCCATGCAGTATCCAAGAATAGCCTATGTTCTCATGCAGTATTCTGGATGTAACCTTAGGAATGGTTTCCCTCCTGCATGCTTGCTACACTCTTCCCCTGTAACTGCTTTTTGAGTAACATCCCTAAATTAAAAACTTTATTTGGATGTATGGTAGCATGTTGGGAATCACTGGTGCCTTTGACCAATTGCCATTTGTTTCTTGTATGCATACCATGTATGCCCAAGTGTTCTGGATATGATGTAATCTATATGTTCTGTGGCAATGCAAAGATAAATAATAGAATACAACATTCTCTTGGCAATTTTGTGTAATTTGTTATATTTGTTATGCCAATTCTGGAAAATGTTGTGCTATCATTATCAGTTTCATGTTCAAATATGCCGCATAGTCTTGATCTTTGCAAAGTCACGCTTACTCCAAGAGTTCATTTATAATCCCAAGAGTGCACCGTGTCTCAATGGGCTGTATTACTCTGCCGATTGAGCTCGCGAATCGCGGGCTGTGGCCTGTGGGCCTGTGGCGATGATCTTGCCGAGCTCCCCGTACCTAGGTAAGTGGCAGCGTTGGCACGTCGGAAATACTGCACAGCTATCCGTCGAGTCCGTTTTTTAAAAATAAAAATAAAAGAGTGTGTTTTCTAAGAAAGAAAGAAAGTGTCTAGTTACCTGTCAAAATAAATCAGTCAATTTTTTTCAGATTTTTTTTTATAAATACGACCCAGTAGGCAGTGGTAGCACAAATCCTAAAACGCAGCCAAACGTATAGAAATCTGATAGATTTAGTACTAAAAATTATCATTGGATAAATAACAAAAGTCATATTAAAATAGCTATCCTCGAGTCCGTGCTGATGTGTACGTCGATCATGAACCACCCCACCAGCTAGATCTAACCCATCTAACTAAATTCGACCTGATTATTGCATTTGGCCTAGGCTATAATTTTTTACTGTAATCCGATGTAAGTTGTAATAACATAGAAAAAACTGATCAAGTGTTGACCAGATGTTTTTTCAGTCCAACCCGATGGGTGGGTTAGGCTATAGTAACTTTTTAACCGTGAAATCTGAAAAAAGATCAGATTATATATATACATAGAGAATCAGACAACCCGAATCTGATCTGATCTATCGTTTGATCAGGTCTATTGGCAAGTAATAATACAAAGACAATTTGAGGGAAAAAGAATCCAATGTTCGA